TTTAAATCAGCTATCCATGGCCATCTTCACTTTGCGCAAACCTCCTACTTAGCCTGCACTTTGTCAGTGCAGTTGCAGCTTCGGCAATCGATCTCACCCCTCGGTCCGTCCGCCGCCGACTTGAACCGTCTCATCAAGCACTCGGGTGCCCAAATCACAGTGCGCACGCGATGGAGCGAATTCGACCCCCCCGGCGCCGGCCGTCGTAGTTAGCCCCACGTGCGAGAGCGACATCAAGGCTGTTGTGAAATACTGTGCCAAGAACAAGGTCCCTCTCCTGCCCCAGAATGGCGGCAATGGCTGGGCGGCATTTGGCTTCAACACCACCGGAGTCATTCTGAACTTGGCCGGCCTAAACCAGGTGACCATCAGCCGAGACAAGAAGACAGCGGTCATTGGCGGCGGTGCCATCATCAGCGAGGTCATTGCCGCTGCAGACAAGGCCGGTGTGCTCATCCAGACGGGCAACTGTAACTGCGTCGGTGCTCTCGGCGCGGGTCTCGGTGGCGGATACGGTAATCTCATCGGCGAATTCGGCATGGCGGTCGACAACATCCTGTCTCTCCGCGTCATCACCCCCGAGGGAAAGGCGATCAACGTCTCACCATCCTCCAACCCAGATCTCTACTGGGCCATGCTCGGTGCGGGCCCGAACTTCGGTATTGTCACTTACGCAACTGTCAACGCTTTCCCTACCGCCGACCGCAACGCTTGGCTCATGTCTCTGACCTTCGACCACTCCAAGATCGCCCAAGTCGCCCAAGCCATCCAGGATCTCCCGCTTCTACCTCAGCAAGTTGTCTTCCTCATCCTCACAAACTCGGGCGATGCCAAAAACACCCCCACCGTACTAGTCACTGGCTACCTCCGTGGCGGCGACGAGACATCGGGCCATAAGGCGTTTGCATCCCTGTACGCTCTCGGTCCCCAGACAAACAGTAGCTCTACCGCCCCTTACACGGGTTGGAATGTCGGCAACGACTTCTTCTGCGGCCGCGGCGGCCGCAAGCCGGCCTTCACCACCGCTCTCAAGGATATGAAGTCCTCGAGCTGGCCAGCCATTTGGGACCTGTACGCCGACTTCCAGAAGCAGCCTGGGGCGGAGAATTCAGCCATTGTGATTGAGCGTTACAACCTCACCAAGGCCAGGTCGGTCGGCCGTGGTGCCACTGCCGTGCACGATGAGCTGCGCTTCGACTCGTTTGCGCAAGCTATTGCACTGCCGTGGTACAAGGATGCCGCCCTCGACACACAGGCCCTCGACTTTGCCTCCAAGGTCCGCGACATTTGGAGCTTTTCCGCTAATGCCAAGGCCAACCCGGCGTATGTGCTGCCTTTTCCCACACTGTCAATGATTGCAATTGGAATGAGCTCAAAAGCTAACAACCCCCTCTTTCGTGGTATAGATACATCAACTTTGCGCATGGTGACGAAGAACTTGTCGCTATTTACGGCTCGAGCCTCCCCCGACTCCAGAAACTCAAGAGCAAGTACGACCCTGATAATGTATTTGGACAGTGGTTCAGCCTTGCGTAGGTTTAGCGGATGACCTTCTACACGTTGATAGCAAAACTTTACATACTCATTCGATGCCCATGATCATTTCATCTCAAGAAATGGAAATCCAGATGCAGGGCCCACTACTAGGGTAGCCTTTATACGCCGTACGCTTTTTGTCCACGGCGGGAATACAACTGTTACCGCATGGTGTTTCTCTACAGCCGCATCGTAGGCGGCCCACGGTTGTATATGTCTGTGCCAACCGTGACGCCTTTTCAGGTTGGGTCGAAACGTCCCCAAAGCGACAGCTCAGTGTCAAAATGGCGCGAGCACGATAGGGGCTTGTCCACCCAGAGGCGAGGGGGCATCATAAAAGAGGACGAACGGGCCCATGGGGTATGTTTCACCTGGGGAAAATAATTCGGATCGCGAGATGTTCAGATCGGGCCATGGTCTTTGGAGAGTTATTGCAGCACCAACTAAAGGCGTCGCCGAATGACGACCATTCGTTCTCTCTCTCTCTCTCCTCTCTCCGATGCCAATAGCAATGTCGTAGCATCTAGACCAAGGCAAGAGATCCGTCGCGGATCAGGTGATGGTCAACTCGTCATCATGGGTGGGCAGAGGACACTGCCTTTCTCGACGCAGTCTGGGCATGTGCAGACAGGCTTGGCCTGGAACAGCTTGATGGTCCCTGCAAAGGCGTATGCTCGATGGCTGGAAAGAGTGGCAAGATCGCCAAGATGGCGATACTTGGTCATGGCGCGACGCTGGCGCTCGGCGATCGGCGAGGATCTTGCCGAGGCGAGATAAGCAAGCCATTGGGGACAGGCAACACACGGTTGGTGGTATCTGCCCAGTCGAATCGATCTGGGTCGAGGAATTTTGCGATGAATAGGATCCACAATCAGGGCGAAAGAAAGTTCTGAACAGAAGGCATGCCAAGACGGGCCGGGCCAAGCATTTTACTACCGTAGGGTACAACAAGCTCAGATTGCCGCAGACGACGACGACGACGACGACGATGACAGCTTTAGTTTGTGTGGGGGTGACAACGACGCGACAGGACATGGCGAGCATGAGGACGAGCAGGAGCATGAGCAGGAGGGACACGCAGATTTCGCTGGTCGGCACTTGGGACGAACTTTCCCCCTTTTCCCTCCTTCTACTTCTGCCCCTTTTCCCTGCTCCTTCCCGTACGCCCCGTATTGTTTAGGAAAGGCCATTCCTGGGCACCCACACGCTAACAACACCCCCAGAGACAGCAAGAGACAGCACATGAAGCACCACTGGCACCAACGCTCGCTCCAGGCAGCCATCGACAGAGAGGGCGAGAACGGCCCATGGACCCTGGCCAGTACCCAGCCGAGATTGGAGCAACACCAGGCACGACCGTCTCAAGCCCAAAAAGGCAGGGGGCCCCTCGTCAACGACCCCAAAAGACGGCCACTACGGCTGACTATGGTGATTTGGTCCAATCCAGACACGAGATGGCAGCCATGAATGAGGCCCGCCCTCCGCCACGCCCCATCCCCATCCCCATCTGTCTGTGCCTCTCTCTCACTCAGCGTCGAACAGTGCTTTTTTTTTCCCTTTTGGTTTCTCACGCCCACTGGCCCGTGTCTGAAGTGAAGCGTGTGGCCCAGAGAAGCTGTCAGCGACCCGACCCGAGCCAGCAACAAAACCAAACAAGCTCCCACCCCGGCGTCGCCATGCCTTGAGAAGCCCTGCTGTCCTTGGCATCCAAGCCGTCATTGCCATCTCGCGCTGGTCTGCCACTTGCTATCCATCTGCGCGTGCTACACTACACCATGGCTCTGCAGCTGCAGAACATCGCCATCATGTTGGTCGACAATGTGTCTCCCACGGTGCAGACCATCGCCAATACTTTGACCGACAAATTGTCCCCGACAGTGCAGATCATCGCCAGCACCTTGACCGACAAAGTGTACCCGACGGTACAGACGAGCGCCCACTTGTTGGCCAACAAAATGCAACCGACAATGCAGACGATTGCCATCATGTCGGCCAACGTGAAGTACCCGACAATACGCCCGAAGCATGCCAATGCCGCTTTTCTCGCCGTCTGGCTGATGCTGGCCCTCTACTGCTACTCCAATTCCTACGACGACCCCTCGTCTATCTTTTTCAACGAGAAGCTCGCCTTCCGAGAACGCTTTTCCCTCGTTCGCACCACCAACGCCGAACACCTGATCGAGGTCCTGACCTACGGGCCTCCGACGCCCAAGATCGAGCGGCTCCCCGGCACCAAGCCCTTTCTCTGCATTGGCGTTCCTAGTGTCGCCCGCAACACCGTCTCGTTTCTGCCGCAGACTCTCGCTACCCTCGTCGACACCTTGACCGACGAGGAGCGCTCTACCATTCATCTCGTGACGCTGCTTGCCGACCAAGATCCCAAAGACCACCCCGCCTACGAGGCGCCCTGGCTCGATCGTCTTGTCGACGAGGCTATCGTTTATAGCGCTGGCAACTGGACGCTGCCACCTCAGCCAGAGGTTCCGTCACGCGCGCCACTCCCTACGACGTCCGCCAAGCCGGCCGCGGTACCGAACGCGTTGAGAACATGCGCCTCGACCATTCCGTTGTTCTCGACGCCTGCCGCAACACGGGCGCCCAGTACTTTGCCCTCGTCGAAGATGATATTGTCGCATCGCGCGATTGGTTCACCCGGTTCAAGGCTGGCATTGCCGACGTTGAGCAGCGCAAAGCCTCCCACCCGAAAGCCCCTGACTGGCTCTACTTCCGTCTTTTCTACTCAGAAATCTTCATGGGCTGGAACAGCGAGGAGTGGCTTGGCTACTCGCGCGTCATCTTTGAGCTCTACGTCCTGGCCCTTGTCGTCTTTCTCGTCCTGCGTCGCACATGGCCCGCTGCCTCTCTTGGCGCCCAAGGCAAGCGCACCGTCACCACGTACCGCCACACGTCGGCCTGGATGGCCGCCCTCGTCTTCGGCCTCTGGCTGCCGGCCCTCATCGTCCTGTACTTCGCCGCTGGACGCGTCTCGACCCACCGCATGACCCCCTGGTCCTCTGACGGCGTCCGGGAGATGCCCAATTACGGCTGCTGCGCCCAGGGCCTTGTCTTCCCGCAGCGACATCTCGATATGATCCACGACATGCTCGTCACGCCGCCCTTTAACTTTCCCGGTGACATGATGCTCGAGGATCTGGCGCGCGACAAACAGTTGACAAAGTGGGCTCTCGAACCGAGCGTCTTCCAGCATGTCGGGCTGAAGGAGTCATCAGACGGAACGCAGAGGAAGGAGGTGTGGAATTTTAGCTTTGAGAGGCAACAAAAATAGACGGCAATTCATCGCAAGGAGAGCGAGGCATGCTCTGACTGATGAAGGAAGGCATGACGAGGACGATCAACAATGTACAGTAATAGATATTGGACTTGCATGCCATGGCGTTTAGCAATGTGGTTGAATAAGATCTGTTTTGAAGCACTGCAGCGTGCATATTTGTTAATCGTCGAGGAACGAACTTGATAGCGATATTCGTTATGGTACACAATCAACTTCTACAGGGCGTTGATCAAGCCGAGTGCAGGGAAGCATCCCAACCTTGGAGAGTGCTTTGCAGGTATGGCATATCCACCGATGACCAATCAACCAATGACTGTATTGTGCGTCCCGCGAATGCATACTCGCGCATCTACGTGCAATATCCTTTTATATAAAGTTCTTCCACGCGCCCTTGGCTCATCATCTCCCAGACTTGCCAAGCACCACAGCATCACAAGTCTTGCCAGCATGCCGGCAAAGCGTCACACGCATGCCGTCTATTTCCCCAGGAGTATTGTATGACCTTCGACCCAAATGAGCATACCTTCAACTGCTCTCTCTCTCTCCCTCCCTCTCCCCCTCCCCCATATTTTCATGCCAAGAACACTCAAAGAACGATGTGATCAGTCGCATACGAAAGACCTCATTTCCCTTCCCCAGAAAACGTCCGACCGATCCCAGACCCAGAATCAAACGCAGAAGAAAAACAACCCCCCCTCAGCACCTCTAGATGCAGACCTTGGCCTTGGTGATGAACACGCTGGCAACGGCCCCGCCGCCACCCTCGGGCTGCACCTTCATCTTGATGCTCGGGCTGATCTGGAACTTGACGGGCGTCTCGTCGGCGACCTCGGCATTCTCGGCAGACGGCCACATGGTGGTGGCGTCGAAGCGCTTGGGGCGGCTGTAGACGAGGAACATGGGATTCTTGCTGCCGAGGAGGACGTCATCGATGCGCACGGCCAGGGTGAAGACGTTGAGGAGGCGGTAGTGCAGCGTCGCGGCGTGGCAGACGGAGGCGTCGGGGTTGGCGGCGTCTTGGGCGGGCAGGTACGTCTTCAGCACGGCGAAGAGCTCGCTTGCCACGGTAGTCAGGTTGTCCCAGTCGATGCTGGTTGTGGCGGTGGCTGCGTCGTTGCCAAGGGCCTGGGTGATCATGTGAGCGCCCTGGGCGCGCCAGAGGGCAAAGTGTTGGAGGGTTCGCATGTCGGCGTCTTTGAGAAAGGCTGCGGAATGGGCCAGTGTCAGTGATGATCTGGCCATTCTTTTTGGAGGTTCGATGGCCAGCTGTAGTACTCACTGGTGCGGAGCTGCTTGCAAACGTCCTTGAAGGCACCGCCCACCTTGCCAGCCCAGATATCGCGATGCTGGCTGCCAAAGTACTGAGCAACCTCGTACCAAACATAGGCCTCGAATACGGAGCAGCGAGTGGCCTCGTCGATGATCCACTCCTTCCATTGCTCACCGAGCATTCTAAGTCCATTCGCCATGCGTGGATGGGTCGTATCGACGGCGACAGGACCAGTGAAGAGAAGAGCCAGGATATTAATTTCGTACGTGAGCTTGCTGAAGAGTTCGTGAAGGACCGTGGCAGGAACCTCGGGGGCGATGGGGGCCTGCTGTGCCTCCAAGACGGCAATCTGCAAGCGCTGGAGATCGATTTGTTTCTCTGCTCTCTCCAACCTCTGTACCATGTCGTCGTAGGTGACAACAAGATCAGCCTGACTCACTTCCATGTCAACGTCGTTCATATTTGCCCGGATGATGAAGAATTTCGGAATATATGGCTGTCTGGTCCCCTGCAGCGCCGTCAAGTTGGTGAGAGAGCTGGAAGGAGAGGATTAAAGAAGGATGAAGAAGACGGAGCCTTCTGGCCCCACGCACCTTCCTCAAAGGAGCGTGTGAAACGCTCCACCGACCTCTTTCCTTGCCAGAGTGACTTTTCAAAGAATTTATTCGAGCCTTGCTGGCAATTGTTTCCCTTTGATAGCTGGGTATTGGGGCCGGGCAGGCAGTGACCAAAGTCCCGGCCTCCGCTGAGCTGGTGGGCATCAGAGAGCCGCCGGCCAAGGGGGCCACGTGGCTCAACTCTTGTCGATACTGGCGCAAGACGGGCAGGAAGTGGCCCGAAGCTGCCCACCAGCAGAGGGCGGCCCATAAGAATTCCAGCTTCTTTCGCCCCTTCTCGGCTAGTACTAGGACTACGAGCAGCGATATGATGACTCCGAAAAAGCCGGCTATTGCCATTTTGGCCCATTCACTTGCTGGGTTTGCCGGGGAGAGAACGCAGAACCAAGAGATATGGTCTTGTGCGGGGTTGCTCACATTGGCCATCTTCATGTGACTCTTCCCTCTAATCATATATGTCGCTTCTGTTCGTTTCCTTACCTATTGTATTCTGTTTTGCCCAGCACGAAGTACGCAATGTAGCGTATTCTCCTCGTTTGATCAAAGTTGGCATGACCCTGATTGCCTTCTCCACGTCAGATATTTATGATTCGCACCCATCAAGGTAGTTGAAATTCATACTTTTTAGCATGGAAAAGACTGTCCGTTCCGGTAAACGTCATTGATGTAGCTGCCACTGTCCAGAAACGAACGACAACTGAAAGAGCTGCATGTTGAAGGTAGCTGTTGCGCTTATAGCCTGAGTTCCCGTGTGAATTAGTAATGCCAGTCATGTCCTACCAGGCTCGGGGACATCCGCAACACGCGGTCATACTGATCTTCAGAAAGTGGTTGATGAGGGTGTCATTTGCCATATATCCCGAGGCGGTCCGCAAGGCCGGGCGTCTCATGCTCAATCCCCTGTACATTAGGCCGTGTTGGCCGCGCAAGAGTACCTGGCCAGGGCATATTGTCTGCGAAGAATGCCGGCCAAGTGATTTCTGGCTGTTGCACATTTGGGTTCGCATATGTTCAGTGCTTTTGCGATCGTTCGATTATGTGCCAATCGTAAATGCGACGCCAATACGCTCCTCGTTTGATGAAGAGATGGAATTCCACTAGGGTGCTTCCAAGCGCAGCGACGCTGTCGCAGTTGCATCAAAGTATAGATGAGAACAGACCCAAAGTTTGAAGCCGTCGAAATTGGAGGAGAAAATCCTTCAGGGCGGGGCTTATATTAAGTGATATCTCGATCTTAAGCCACCCTTGGCGTGCTCCCTCATCAACGCCCAAGAAGCCCACTTTCCACAAATCAAATGCTCGAGAGGCTCCTTGAAGCACTGCGATCCCACCTGAAGAGAGCTTGCCAGCCGACGGAGACCTTCACGACAAATGAAACCGATGACTCCTCTGTGCGAGAAGGCAGTAAAATGTCAGCAACAAGAATCAGATCCAATACAGGAGTCATCCTGATGTATTCCATCACCCCGCGGCGTATCATATTCATACTACAAGCCCGTTGATGACTCTTCTGGACGAGTTGCTCGTTGTTATGATGCACTGCCTTAGAAGAGACGACATCTTGCGACTTCATTACGTTTCGATAGATTTGATGCGGCTATTCAGGATACCTTCATTTCAGAAAAGAAAGGCACAGTCGCCCTACACAGTATTCGTGTGCAAACCCTTCCCTCCCGTCTTCCAGAATAAATGCCTTTTCCGTACCAAAGGCACCTTTGTATTCTCCGCCGGCGACGAAAGGGGTGGTGTTGGTGCCAGTGGCAGAGGTTCAGCGCTCGCGTGCCCCATCGCCGTCAGGAAGAAGAAGTCGTACCAGAAGGAGTGCTCCAGGTCACGCGGCCTGCCGTCCTTGGTCCAAATTCGCCTCTCGCTCAGCTCGCGCGAGAGACGCCTGCGGAAAGAGCGGTCTGCTCTCACCCACCATATACGCCACATGGTGAGGACACAGAGCGTCAAGGGTACCGCCGTCACCCAGTAGACCCAGAATAGGCGGCTTAGGACGGGAACAGGATCTCGAGCTGCCGCAGGAGCGCCTCCGCTTTCATCGGTCCGACCTGAGACATCTTCACCTGAAGCCTGCCAGTCAAACATGGACATGCCGAAAAGACCGCTGACATACTCGCCTGGGAGGAAAATGGCAGTGATGACAGCTAGCGCCGTCATGGAAGAACTATCGCGCGTCGCTGACACGGCCATGCGGGCGTTGAGCATGTTGTCCTCTTGGGCCATTTTGCTGTAAATCTGCTCACGATCAGCGTTTGCCCACGCGTCAGTTTGCTCCTGAAAGGGGGCTTACTATGTCAATCTGAGCACGGCATCCAGCCTCGGCCATGCCACGATCGGTCTCGAGCGCGACGCACATCCTCAATAGGCCCTCGAGGTACTGCTCAATTTCGTGCCAGTCATCTCGCAAAGACTCTCTCGACACTCTCGGCTTTTGCAGCACTGCTTGGTCACCTATCTCGAGCGGAGTCGGAGCGCCGAACTCATCTAACACTTGGGTCTCGACCTCCACAACATTCATCTCTTCTGCCAGTTCGTCGCCCGTCTGAAGCAAAAGCTCGACAGCTCGCTCCATCCACTTGACCGTGTCCAACAGCTTCATTGACTCTTTCTGCACGTCATGCGCCCGCTCCATGAGATCGGCCATGTGCATCGGTCCTGGCATGAAATCTTCTGAGCCCCCTCGACTCGAGTATCGAGCCCAGCGCAGCCTCTTCTCGTCATCTAGGCCTGGGTCTTCGAACCCAGATATGTTGTGAACATCCTGCTCGAGGATTTCGACATGAAGCAAGTTCTCCATGATGGCCTCCTCCGTGCGCCCGAACTGCACTTGGAGGAGCACAACAGGCGTGACAAAGGGATGCGCCCATTGCGCCCTACATGCCTCCAGGCGATTGTCGTATTCATCGAGCTCTTGAAAGTCATCCCTCCGAGGATTGTGCGACTGACGTATGAGAACAGTCGATGTTCGTGACTTGAGATCGTATGTCATCGAAAGAAAGTCATAAGGAGTTCGAGGATGCGACGAGAAGGCCAATAATAGGCTCAATCTTGACTTGTCGACGGACCAGAAGCGACCCTCAGTCGTCGTTCGTCGCGAATACTGAAGTGTCGCAGGATGCAAATTCATAGCAGTTAGGTCGTCTGGTGTGATGCTGAGGCCATCTACACGGTCGAAAGAATGGCCTCGGCGAAAGCACACGACCCGTCTCACACGGCCGTAGACTGTCATGCTTGGATCGAGCTGGTCAGAGGTAGCGAATGCACCATCTTGATCCAATAGGTAGTCTTGTCGAAAGGCAAGATTGAGCATCTCGAAGCCGGGAATATCCGCCTGGTTAAATCGATGCGAGATGGTACTTTGTGGTCGATGCTCGGCCAAATCACCATGGCTTGGTGTGGTGGCGCCACTGCTCCTTTTGTAAACCACATATTCGTCGTATTCGATGCCGGAGCCGGAGCTGTTGTCCGCCAGAATGTGGTCGCGTAGAAGTCGTTCTTCGAAGTTAAAGAGATTCGAGCTGTTGAGCCCGACGTACTCGGGCATATTGGCTAAGCAAGTCGTTTTCTGATCTGTGAATCGACCCGACGTCCGTCGCTCCGGATTGTTGGGTGGACATGGCAGGCGTAGAGTTTTAAGTCACGGATCTTCCTGGAGCTTGAACTTCTGGAAAGAGCGGCGAACAAATGCAGAAGGCTGGCAAGTAATTAGAACCAAAAAAAAGCGCGATGGTCGCCAACCTTCAGGTCGTCGATGAACAGGCCTGATGCTGGCTTCGCTTAAATCCGAGAAGTCGCACATGACGTCTGCCAGATCCAATGCTGGAACAAAAGAACACTGACAGTAGGATCGCTCGAACAGCTAGTCCAGCAGGCCTCATTGACGACGTATGCTCGATCAAGGACAAGGGCATCCATGCTAAATGCCCCCCGCTCAGGAGCTGCCAGCAAGACGTCTATACAAGGACATCCCCGCGGCGGAGAACAATAGCGGAGACACAGGTCTTGTCATTGCTAAGAGTTCCTGTTTGAAAGAGAATCCGAGAGTTTGGCTTGTGCTGAGCCCGCAGCTTGTCGATGGATGCTTGGTTGGTCTGGGTTCGCATTTTGTGAAGGAGGACTGATTCGCTGAGTGGGGACTTCATCATCCAACCTGCCTTGCCTGCCTTGCCTGCCCACCTGCAGGTAAGGGGACGAGGCAGATGGACGATGAGACAGAATAAGCTGCTTAGTAAGGTAAGGGCAGCTTTGACCTCGGAATCAAGTCCGGACCATCTTTAGCGCTTGCACTCTTCATCTCGCAGATCATCACGCCTTAGTTGACTCCTCGGGCCCCATAACCATTTGCCGAGCGATGTCGCCTGTCGGGACTATGGGGACCTCCGGCCAGATTCCGAGTCGCGACAGACTCGTTATCTCGATGGCCATCTTCCCTCCATCGTCCAAGGACCTACCTAGTATGCCATAGGAGCGACGAGGGCAACTTGTCATCCCCCCACAACACGTTCCGCTCCTCACGACCACCTGCAGGTTGGGTTCAATCGAGGAACGGAACTGAGCTTCATCGATTTGAATGGAACTGGCTACAGAGCCTCGAGCTGACGCCACGCGGCTCACTCAACCATCAAAGGCACCAGATGCCGACGCCGTTTTCGAAGCTCGTGTAGCCGAGAGCGATAAGCCCGATGACCGCTCTGCTCGAGGACTTGTAATTCACATCCTGACATGGACGCCTACGAGGCTGCGTTATGATCCAGCGAATCCTCCCGAATTCGGGTACTTCCTCAATTTTCTCTACGCTCTGGTAAATGCTTTGCCGGCCTTCTTTGTGTTTTTGATGTCTTAACGTTCGGCTGACCACGAACACAGTCTGCCACCATCACTGTAGCCAATCTGTACTACAATCAGCCCGTGCTGAACAGAATCGCAGAAACATTCAATGTCAGCTTCGAGCGTGCCTCTTCCGTCGCCACACTCATGCAATCCGGCTATGCTGCAGGCCTGCTCTTCCTATGCCCGCTAGGTGACACTTTGCGACGGCGGCCGTTCATCATTGGGCTGGTATGGGCGACTGCGATGCTTGTAAGAACAATCGAGCTTGTGCCTTGCGCCATAGGCTGACTCTAGAATAGTGGCTCGGCCTTTGTGTCACCAAGTCTTTCGATGTCTTTTGTACGCTATCCTTCATCTGCGGTGCCACGACCGTCACTCCGCAATTGATGATCCCTCTCGTTGGGGATATCGCTCCACCCCAGCGCAAGACGACAGCCATGGCGATTGTCGCATCAGGCCTCATGTTCGGCATGCTCGTCGCACGGTTGCTCTCAGGTATCGTTGCCAACTATACCGACTGGATCAATATTTACTGGCTGTCCTTCGGCGCCCAGTACATCCTCGTTGTCCTGCTCTTCTGCTTCATGCCTGATTACCCACCCACCAACCCCGAGGGCATCAATTACTTTCGCGTACTGTGGAGCATCGTCGCCATGATCTTCACCGAGCCCATCCTAGTGCAGGCCTGCCTCATTGCGTTTCTGTGCAACGCCATCTTCACCAACTTCTGGACGACCCTCACTTTCCTGCTCGCATCGCCGCCTTACGAATTCAGTTCCCTCATCATCGGTCTTTTCTCCCTCATCGGCCTGACAGGCATCGTCGGCACACCACTCTACACCCGTCTGGTCTTTGACCGGTTTGTTCCCTTGTTCTCGACCATCCTGGGCTTGTTCGCCGTCATGGCTGGAGTCATCGTCGGTACTTTCACCGGCAAGGCTACCGTGGCCGGACCTATCATCCAGGCAGCCCTTGCCGACGTGGGAAACACAGGTGGCGCACATTAGCAATCGAGCCGTCAATTTACACACTCGATCCAAAAGCCAGAAACAGGGATCCAACACGGCGTACATGATTGTGCCTTCTGTGGGTCAAATTGACAGGCACAACTGTTGGGAAACAGGCTGTATGCCCCATGGCGGGTGGCTCCTGAGTGGTGGTGCGAGCGGTAAGGCTTTTTGTCTTGACGTCTCCCTGTTCGAAGTTCGTGATACTGATCTTGTGTGTGCGCAGTGGCATTTGTCGGCCTGGCTCTGCTTGCCGGGTTTGCAAGAGGACCTAGAGCGAAGGGGTGGGTTGGCTGGCATGGGGGCTGGAGACTACGTAAAGACCAGTGATTACCAGGGTACGATCCTTCTCGACTTCGCGTCATTCGAGGCGTGTCGCGGGACTTTGGAAGAGCAGGCTGCAGGTTAGATCTATTCTATCTCAAAAAGCAACGTCTTATTACATGCTGCGCTGGCGCAATTGGGGCCTTTCATCTCAATTTCATCCGCAGCTGATCATGTTATTGCGGGTTGTTCTTGAAAACTCAAGGTGGACAGGCAGCTGCATACGAGTGAACAAGAATTTGGTTGCGGGGAGCTAAACTGTACACTCCCGGCATCGTGGCAAATGAGTTCGATGTTACGCATGCACCAAGGCGGAACAAAGTCTTGTTTTCCTGGTTTCATCTTGGGCGAACCTACCGCGGGTTGAATTGGGTTTGACATGGACTTGCTTGATTGGGCGCAAAAGTTCAATTCGGCTTCTTTGAGTCTAGTCTTTGTTGCCAAATGATTAAGCTTGGTATATGAGGGCCCTTGTTGGTTCCGAATTGCATGTTCTTTTGCGCAACTTTGATGAAAGAGGGCCTGGCTAGAGCCATCGGATCTCTCCAAAGTCCACTACCAAAACAACATCCATGCACTTCATGAGCATCACATTGTATAAGTCTACATAGAAAAGTGTGCAATAACGCGATGAGGTGAGACGGGTTGCCAGGTACCAAAGCCCGGCATCGTCAAATGGAAAAAAAAATGTGATGGTCCGGCTAAGCTAAGTAAGTTTATTGATCAGATGACGGTGTCCTGCTTCGGACACAACGTTGTTCCTGTGAGGAATTTGACGTAGCGCGACTGCTTCTGATCAAGGTTTTACGACCAATTACTTGATTATTATGCGAAACCGACATAGTCTCTGTGCCTCTATTGTTTTACAGCCAACGTCGCGATAGTCGATACTATATAGAGACTCTACTTCAACTCCTTCTCTTAACCCTTCAGCCACAGAGACTTACAGTACATGTCGTGGAAATCAGTAAGTAAGCAAACTATATCATTCAACGCGGTTTTGAAGATTGCGCGTGATTCACAAAAACACATCGACAACCAACATGGCGCCCATCGACCTCCCGCCCATGCCAGACTTCGGCGTACGGTTTGTATTTCGCCTCACCCTCGAGTTCCTTGTCGAGAAGAAGGTCACAGGACGGAGGGCTAATAAGAGTTTCGAGGATCCACAGCACGTGCTCGAAGACGTTATTAGGCTGCTGGACAGTTTAGGCCTCCCTGCCATCGCTCCCGAGACGACTCAGGACCACTACGCTTCACATCAAGGCTTATGGCAGGTATTTCGAGCGACGAAAGCTGAGACCGCCCCGCAAGACTCATGGATCGATCCCATGAA